ACTCTCACTCCATCTTCTTTTCCTAATCAATGTTTAATTTTCGATCCCTTTATATTTAATGGGAAAGCCGAATAGCGGCCCAGGGAGTCCCTGCGACCCCTCCGGTCCCCCCCTGGCTTTCCTGTCACCACGAAGGGCTCTCACGACTCTGGGCTGATGGGGCACCCGGCTTGGCTCCAGACTCTACTGGCTTTCCTGGTATTTCCGTTCCTGTCCCCGGCGGCCCGCCCTCCCCCCCGCCATCTCCCCTCATCTCCTTGGTCTCCTCCAATCCGGGACCTTGCCTTGGGGCCGTGACTGTGCTTGAAGTTCAGGCCCGGGATTTTGCCCAGTGCCCCTCAGTTGAGTGTGGGCTTTTGGGAAGAAAACCCCAGAGATGCGGTATCCTCACCCCACAGCGCCTTGGGTAGCCAAGAGCACGCAGACCGTGTCCCCGTGGACTGGGGAGGCCGCCTGTGGGCTGGGGTGGGCACTTCCGTACACGGGGCCACCCTGCCCTGTCACCTGCTGTTGCTGCCCAGCCCACGCCGTGAGAACCTCCTCATTGCACGTGTCATCCTTCGGCTGAATCCCTGTTGAAGAATAACGCCGGGCTGTTTGCCCTGTGACATGGTTTCATTTCTCCCTTCAGAAAGCAATTTCATTGTCTGTCGCGGAAACTGGAAAAGTCAACAGTAGGGCGACACAGCTCAACGTCTGTCCACATTGTCCACCCTGCAGGTGGCAGATCGACAGGGAAGGTGGTGGAGGAGGACATGGACTGCTGTCCTCCGGGAGGCCCTTCCTGACCCTTGTCTGCAGCCCTCAGGGCCGCCCACCCCGTCTCTCACAATGGCCCTCTGCCCGCTACTCCTGGGACACGGACTGCCAAGGGTGCTTGGGGGCTGCGCTGCTGTTCCTACCACACGCCCAGAGCTGTGGGATGCGGCACGCTGACACGGAACCGAGAAAGTGGCCTGTGTGCCTCAGTCCCAGGAACCTGGTCAGCACAAGCCTGTTAGCCACCATGCCCAGCCAGTTAAAGATATATGTTAACAACAGTATGGAGAAGCCGGGCTCGGTGGCTCAGCCTGTAATCCCGCGCCTTGGGAGGCCGAGGTGAGTGAATTGCCTGAGCCCACGGGTTCGAGACCCGCCTGGGAAACTTGGTGAGACCTCATCTCTACAATAAATCAAAAAACAAAAAAACTAGCCGGGTGTGGTAGCGCGCACCTGTAGTTCCAGTTACTTGGAAGGCTGAGGCGGAAGAGTCTCCGGAGCCCAGCAGGTTGAGGCTACGGTGGCCGGGAGCGGCCACTGCACTCCAGTCTGGGTGACAGAGTGAGACTCCAACTCAAAAAAAAAAAAAAACAGTATGGAGAGATGGGGTCTTGCTGTGTTTCCCAAGCTGACCTCGAACGCCGGCCTCAGTTGATCTTCCGCCTCAGCCTCCCAAAGCGCTAGGGTCTGTGGTCCATGGGGTCTGCAAGATGGTCTGTGGTGAGCACATGGAGCAGTGGGGGAGCCTGTGCTGCGGGCTGTGTGGGGACCCGTGTCCTTGGCGGGGAAGCACGGCCTGTGGGGCCAGTGTCCCCAGAACAGTTCTGGGCCGTGAATCTCTCCGGGAGGCGGGGGGAGCCAGACCTTCTCTGCCTGCGTCTCCCCACGAGAACAGCAGCAGCTGCAGGAGCTCTCTGCAGGGCCTTCCTGGTGTGCTGTAACCATGTGGCACCGCCGCACCGCCTGAGACTCTTGTCCAGGCAACTGCGAGCTTGCAGGCGCCTGCTGCCTCCCTGCAGGAATCTGCATGGCTGTGTGCGTCAGGGCAGGGACACCCCTGCCTGCCCTCGCTGGGGCTTCTGAGGTGAAGAGGGATGCCGGCGTCTCCCTGACAGCCCCTCGGATGGCTCAGGGTAGGCGCTGGATGGGGTGGGAGGCGCTGGAGGCAAGGGGTGTCTGAGAGGCTCTTGTGAAGAGATGGGGTGTCTACGCTTGCCCGTTACGTGTGGAGGCATGTGGTCTGTCGGCACTGAGGGCTTCTCAGACTACTTGCCATCCGGGGCTCGGTTTGTCGAGGGACAGGTGAGGGTGCTCATTGGCTCTGCCCTTCCGTCGTGGTGCCCAAACAGGGAGGGCCACAGCCACGCAGGTATGGCAGCGACCGTAGAGCGTGACTCGCCTTCTGGGGCCGGGGCCCGTTGTGGCAGCAGAAGCCGATCACAGCCTCCTGGTCCTGGCTTGGCACCAGGGTCTCCTGAGCCCGTCCGTGCTGGCACGGGGGTGTGAAAGGGTCTGGGCGGCATCTGTGGCTCTTCGTTGGGTGGTGAGGATGCAGGCCGAGGTGGGCGGG